CGCCCTTACCTGGGGCTGCCTCTCCTCTCTTGGGCCTTTATGTTCCTCCTCTTGGTTTCTCTTTTGGATTGCATGTTGCTTCAAATAAAATCACTAACAACATATGGCCTGTTATGATTCTCTTTTCCCAAACTCTGCCATTTTGTATATTTGTGACACACTGCAGATTTTGTGAAGATTGCTTCATAATATTTGTTTACCATCTGCTGCACTCTATTTGGTATCTTGCTAGGATTTTTTCCTCCATTTTAAGTGACATTAACAAAATCCAGCCAGTACATAGACTTTCTGGTTCTACTTTTGCTTCCCTAATGTGCTGGAAAATCATATTACTATGCTCCAGGCAACTAGAGAAGCCTGGAATTCTCATTGTGAACCAGTGTATCAGAGCTCTCCCCCCACCCCTTCTTGGTCATATCTAGTAATGCTTTTTTGGTCAGGTGGCAAAGAACCTCCATGTTTAAGATAAAAAGAGTTCAAATTATTTTTTCTACTTCTCTCTACTCAGTACCATGACTTTCTAGTGTTCTTCACCAACTTGTTTATACCTTGGAAACTCTTTGTGCCATTTTAGTAAGTTTTATGATTTATAGTTGCCATTGGTGTGCTTTTTACAGCTAATCCAGTCTGATGGGCAAATTGCCAGAGTCTTTGCTGGATGAGCTGTGTATATCCAACTTTTATTCGGAAAAGTATTTTAAGTTATTGTCGTACTAAATTGCTTGGTATATATTTCTACTTTCTTACACTTTACTAACTTGTCATTTCTGTCAATTCATTGTCTTTATTTTTTAATTTTCCCAGCTTTATTGAGATATAATTGATATAGAACGTTGTGTGAGTTTGATGTGTACAGCACATTGATTTTGATATAGTTCTATATTACAAAATGATCACCAGCAGAGCATTAGCTAACACTTCCCTCCCATCACATAATTACCGTTTCTTTTTTGTGGTGAGAAAATTTAAGATTTACTCTCTTAGCAACTTTCAAGTATATAATACAGTATCATTAGCTATAATCACCATCCTATATATTAGATCCCCAGACCTTGTTAATCTTTATAACTGGAAGTTTGTACCCTGTGACAAGTATCTCCCCACTTCCCATATCTCCCAGCCCCTAGTAACCACCTCTCTACTCTCTTTTACTGAGTTTGGCTTTTTTAGATTCCACACTTAAGTGATACCGTATAGTATTTGTTCTTCTCTGTTTGACTTATTTCACTTAGCACAATGTCTTTGAGGTTATCCACGTTGTCACATATGACAGGATTTCTATGTTTTTCATGACTGTGCACATATATGTGGCTGTGTATACCACGTCTTCTTATCCAGTTCATCTAGTGATGGACACTTAGGTTGTTTCCATATCTTGGCTGTTGTGAATAATGCTGCAGCGAACCTGGGAGGGTAGATATCTCTACCAGATCCTGATTTCAGTTCCTTTGGATATAGACCCAGAAGTACGATTGCTGGATCATATAGTAGTTGTAGTTTAAATTTTTTTAGGAACCCACAGACTGTTTTTCATAGTGGCTGTACCAATTTACTTTCCTACCAACTGTACACAAACGTTCTCTTTTCCCCACAACCTTGCCAACACGTGTTTTCCTTGCTTTTTGATACTGGCCATTGTAACAGGAGTGAGGTGATAGCTCGTTGTGGTTTTGATTTTCATTTCTCTGATGATTAGAGAAAGGTGTGGAGCACCTTTTCATGTCCTTGTTGGCTATTTGTATGTCTTCTTTAGAATTCATTGTCTTTAGATAGAAATGTATTCTCACTTTAAACGCCAAGGCCAATGGTTGCTCTGAGATTGCCATCAGGGAGTTAGATAGCTTGGATTTTGGCCAAATGTCATCAGTTTTCTCTTAGGTGTAATTACTTTTCCAACTCAGTCTCCTCTTTGACAAGAACAAGGAGTCTTCATTAAAACTACCAATTACGAATATTAAAGAGTGAAGCAGACGGTCCACCAAGGAGCAACTTGTAAAGACAAGCAGTACCTACATAAAATGAAGTTTCTTGTTAATCCGTAGGAACTGTTAATCACTGTCATGTGAGCCTGATTTTACCCCCAGTCTTTATTAGAATGTCTCTTCAACTTACCCGAGACTTTTCTGTTGGAGTCAGACCCATGGTGGGGCAGCTCCAGCACTTTCCACTAGGCTGGCGTCAAAGGCTATTCTGGTATTTTGTCCTCAGTTTTCTGTCCACTGAGAGCAGAGTGCCCTTGCAGTGTTTCATCTGCTTTTTATGGAACTGCTATGGAAGAAATTATTCTGGTACCCGACTTCCCTCACAGCTTTTTGGTGAAATAATCCCACAGAGATTTCGTGGAATTCTAGAATTCCAGAATCTTTTGTTTTCAGTAGCCTTAAATGGTCAAGCCCTTGTTTTGAGAGCCTAGAGAACCCAGTTGTTGTTCCTGTTTTAGAGAGACTGATTTAAATGATCTTTCTGTTATCTGCGCCCTCTCTTTACAAGTTATTAGGAGACTTTTCACCTGCCTTATTAACTCCAAGAACTTCCTCATCCCATGTAAGCGATACTTTATTTAGTTCTTATATATATTCAGATTTGAATATGAGCAGTCCCTTCGTTACCACCGTCTCTATAGCTAGCTCTGGTACAGGAATGAGATTTTCAGAAAGCTGCTTTGTTCAGGCTGGAAATTTTACCAAGTTTCGGACTTCGTCAAGAACAAATCATTTTAGCCCACATTTAAACAGAAAATTTGACTTGGTTTTAAAACAAAAATGCAAAGTGCTTTCATGTGTGGTAACATGTAACATTATGTCCCTTTATACTATATCTGTTTTTTTCCCCTTTGTTTCCTGCAGTTGGAGGAAGACTTTTTGACTTAACCTTGAAAATACTAGTTTTTAGAACCTGTGTAGAAACTCCTTCTGTTTCTAAAACTAGAATGGCATTTCTCCCCCAGTTTGGCTTTATAAAGTCTGTACCAAAAAAAAAAGGGAAAGTGCTAGGTTCCTATACAGACTTTTATATATTTAACATTACCTAGGAATGCACCTTCTTTGTTACTGAAGGTGACCACCGTGTGCCTTTTATACTGAAAATGGGCAGCTCTTGGTAGCATAATACCAGTAGTGACTCTTGACAGCTCCTACCTTTGTAGATATTTAGGCAGTGTGATTTGATACGATTTATATCGAGGTGAGAACTCTGCAGGAGTGAACCAGCATCCAGAATCCAGGAACAAATGCTTTGGAGAGACAACTCCAGTGAGAGCCGTTGGCTTGGTCAGCCAGCAGGGCTGGCTCAAGTGCAGGTTTCCATCTTGCTGTCAGATTGCTATTGGCTACTGAAGAGAAAAAGGAAGTAGCATTTTGCTCTGAAATAGGCTAATTAGGAGAGAACACATGCTCCCTCCTAGGTTCCCATGGTCTGGTCACCGAGCAGAGGGATATCTTCAGAAGTGCCGCTGGACAGGAGGGAGGGCCCCCTGACGTGTGGTGGGGCCCTAAGATCCGTGTGCTGAGCCGAACCGCCCCGTATTTTCAGTGAGAGTCCCCTGAGCATGTCATGCCGGCTTATTCTCTTTATGACCAGAGTTTCCTCTGTTTCTCCAGGCCTGTGATCAGGTTTCCTTCATCTGGTCAAATCAACAATTAGAAGCCCAGGAGTGACCAAAAAAATAATCACACTGATTGTTTAACAAGATCACCAGAGCTGAGGCATCCAAGTGAGAGCCTGCCCCTTTCAAGATGTCCCCTGGGAGTCTGTGTACTTTCCACAATGCTGCCGTTGCTCAAAATGTTCTTGGCATTTTTCTTCAGCTGTGCCACCATATAGGCTGTTCTCCTATTGACGGATCTTTATCTATAGAAAAATGAAGTAGCTAACTAAATATTTAGAAATGGCCAAAAGTCATTCTGAGTCCTGCCTGGCAGATAGTGAGGCAGGTGATCAGGCAGACAGTTCCATTTGGGGTTAAAAATGAGATGTGATATTTTCATGTGATTTATCTTCAGGTTCTTAAAGCAGTTTTTGAGGAGCTATTTCAAAACTATTTTGAATAAGAGAAGCGTCATTGAAATAAGTACATTGTTTCTGGATGTAGCTATTTAGATGATACATTTATTCAAATGCACACATTCTGGTTATATATTTTGTAAAGTCTTATTATCCTCCAGTTTTAAGACCGTTAAATTATTTCAAAATAGCATGCATCACCATTTGAAGCTTACTGTGGTCAGAGAGTACCCGATACGAATGAATGAAACTGTTCAGAAAGAGAAAGAAAGGTGCTAGACTGAGGGGTATGGGGAGAACTGTATTAGAGTTGCTTTGCAAGTTAACTTTGTGCTAGGTCCCCAAAAGGGAATGAAAAAAGGGACATGGGGAAATGAAATAAAAAGGGAATGAAAATAACTGTCCGACTGTCTGCATCGTAGGATCATTGTGAGGTTTTTGAGAAGGTGCTGTGTATGAAGCACAAGTCACAGTGCCTATAGTGGTGTTCAGGAAACGTTAGGCATTTTTCTGATGCTATTGTGACGTGGTAGATTGCCTGGGAGAGAGGAAGAATGGAGAAACAGAGCAATAGGGTGCTGTGAAGGAGAGAGAAGAGTACTGATAGTTGAACAAGAGTGGCCTCTCTCCGGTTTTTAAAGTTCTCCAAACCAAATCTGTTTAGTCATACTCCAGTGATGTTTACTTTTAACGTAGATACATGTCATGAATGACATGAGCAATATTTGAATTTTCAGCTGTCCCTAAGTTTTTTAGTTCTTTATTGAGATTCTGGTTGTGTTCTGAACAAAAACCAAAACTAAACAACAAACCAATAACCTCAACATCCCCAAAAATATGGTGTTGAGGATTTGAATATCAAGTTGTAAAAACCGATTGTGTTGTGTTCCCACCTGATGTGGTTTTTGCATATTAAAAAAATGGAAATCTTTTTTTTGTGGCAAATTCAGGAAAAAAACGCAAATCTTATCACTTGCATTATATTGCTTTTTAAACAGATGAAGATGAAGATGGTGATCGAATTACAGTGAGAAGTGATGAAGAAATGAAGGCAATGCTGTCATATGTAAGTACATTACAAATGAGGACTGTTTTTAAAATGTTAATGTAATTGAGGATGCTGTTTCTTGGCATAGGGAAGATATAAAAGTAAATCACAGTGTCGATAACATTTTTCTATATAATATATAAGGTTTTCAAAGATTTCCTTACGTGAAAGTTAAAGGCATTTTCAAAAGATGCTTACTGATAATATCATGAACATTAAGAATAATGCATCTTAATGACTTTTGCATTAGGTATGGTGCAGACTAAATGGACTATCAATTTCCTGTATTTTTTATGCAGTACTTAAAGTAACGGCTCATTAAAAATGAACCCCTGGGCTCTAAAAAATTTTTCAAAATCTACTTTCAACTGGAGATCTCTTTCACCCTTCCAGACAGACTACAGTTATAATGTAGCTGCAGGCTTAATATGGATACACGATTTAAAGATGTACTCTCAGTCATTTTATGCACTCACCACCCCTCAACCCCACCCCAAAATGAACTACAGGGTTACTTAATCAAAGTGACCTGAATATATCCTGAAATGGCTTTTCTTTTGTGTTTCAAATTTCGGTGAAAATTTGCATTAACATTCATCTCAGGACTGAAGTAGATAAACAAGAGAAAAGGGTACATTTCTAGAACTTAAGCTTGAAAAATTCAACTACTGTGAAGAGTCATAGCCTCCCTGAGCCCTGATTTGTGCTTTCCTCTTATGTGGTTTTATTTCCTCTTATTTGTTTTATTCTATTTTATCTGAGTTTGTGATCTGTTTATAAAACCTTCGCTAGTGATCTGGTAGAAAGAGCGTTGGGTTGGAAGTCAAGAGACCACTGCTCTCCTCTGGCTCCCTGGCCTTAGGCAAATCACTTAACCTTTCTGTGCTGTAGTTGCCTCATCTGTCAATTGCGGATAATAATACTTGTCCTTTCTACTGCACAGGGTCATTGTAATGATCAAATGGGATAATAGGATGTGAAAGCCCTTTGAAAAGTTAGAAGTCCTATACAAATGCAAAGTGGTATTATGGTGGAAATGCTGGAGCTGGGGCCCCTGCTTTCTAGTGAGGCTCTAATCTTAGCCAGCAGTTTGGTTGTAGGTTTTGATAGACGTCAACTTCAACCAGGATATTGTTTCATTGTAATGAAAACTATAAAATATCTGTATGGGTTTCCGCCAATAGTTTTAATTTAGGATAGGAGGAAAGAGAACAAGAAGGATGGCATGATTAACAGAGCGTTGCATTCAGACCAGCACAAAGTAGGAAAAGTCAATTTCCCATTGACTTCCCATTAACTTATTTGAGAGTCTTTGTGCCCTGAGAATTTAGAGCGGGGCTCATCAGTACCTTGAAAGGCAGAGTAGGATTGTCTGCTGCAAGGTCTAGCACTGGTGTTGATAGATTGGCTAACTCTCCTGAGAATGTGACATGCTTATTTTTAGAAAACGCATGCACACAGATGGGTTCTAGTATTTTCACGTATGTCCATTACAGAGAACTCACATCAGTGTACTTTCATTATGTCTCTGACATAATCACACACAAAGGTATGTTTTCAGTAATGTACTTTTGGGAAAATCTGACAAATTGTGCTTTTGGAGAAATGTTACTGCATGTGATCATAGTGATGATAATTATTTTCATTTCTAAGTGCCTAGTATATACTAGATTCTTCAGGTATTTAATTTTCTTACATCTTAAATTATCTACCTTTGTGAGGTAAATATCATCATCCCTAATTTTTAGATGAGGGAGCTATGGTTAAGAGATGTGCCCAAGGTCTTATAGCTAGTATATGTAATGTGAATATGGAATTTAAGCTCAGCTTTTCCTTATCCCAAAGCCCCTGCTCCTTTATGTTTCACACTCTTTCTCTCCCAACCACCTCCTTACACATTAGTTTGTCATCACCATTATTAAATTCTGAATGATTTATCCTTATATAATACCTTGAGATATCTGTTGTATATGTTTCTTATGACTTACGCTTATTTTCTCAAATGCAGTGTTTATTTTTGTCTTGTAGGAAAATATTAGAGTTGTAGAATTGTCCTTAAAAGTTGCTGAGATTTCTTGAGAGCCACTTTTTAGTCTGAACAGAAATCATCTAGCTCATTGATCCCCAAGTATTTGGATTTCATGAGCTAATCAGTCTTTCATTTTTAGCTTGGGGGACAGACATAGGCATAGTAACTTTTAATTTTGCCAAATAAAAAATTAATAAAATAAATAAACATAAAATTATCTACTGTTAACTATTATTTTATTAACAAAGAAAAACAGTGAGAGTCATTTAAAGATTAAAACACTGGGGCTCGAGAACTTAACCACTCAGCCACAGGGCCAGCCCCGAGAGAGAAGTTTCAATTCATTTAAAACTTAAATGGATTTCCTTTTCCTCCTGTCTGTTGCAGTAACCCCTGCCATTACATATTCTTTGTTTATGTAGAGTCAGACTCTGAATAAAGTAAAGAGTAGGGGAATCTCTTTCTCAAAGAAGCACAAACAAGGTTGGATGGCTTTGATTTTGATCTGTCTTGGTTCTTGTGGTCAGAATTCCTTTGGGTTCCAATTTTGTGAAAAAGTAAACCATTTGGACCTAATAGATTTTGGTTGATGGTCTTCAGTTGCCTATTATTAAAAACCTGCATTGGCCTTTATATTTTAGGTTCAATTTGACTCTGAAAAATTTTGATTCCAGGATTTGGGTGGTGGCATAGGGAAGATACTGACAAATGATGACGCATTTACTGTAAGAAAACAGCTTAGTTTTTCATGTGGAATTCAATACATTTGTAGTCTCCATAGTGTTTGTCTTTCTTTCTTTCTTTCTTTTTTTTCTGAGGAAGATTAGCCCTGAGCTAACATGTGTGCCCATCTTCCTCTTTTTTTGCCTAAGGAAGGTTAGCCCTGAGGGGCCGGCCCTGTGGCCAAGTGGTTAAGTTCGCACGCTCTGCTTTGGTGGCCCAGGGTTTCGCCAGTTTGCTTCCTGGGTGCGGACCTCCTCACTGCTCATCAAGCCCTGCTGAGGTGGCATCCCACATAGCAGAACCAGAAGGTCCTGCAACCAGCATATACAGCTAGTACTAGGGGGCTTTGGGGAGAAGAAGAAGAGGGAAAAAAAAATAGAAGATTGGCAACAGATGTTAGCTCAGGTGCCAATCTTTAAAAAAATAAAAAATAAAATAAATGTTGTTAAAAAAAAAAAAAAGATTAGCCCTGAGCTGACGTCTCTGCCAGTCCTCCTCCTCTTTATATGTGGGTCACTGCCACAGCATGGCTGACGAGTGGTGACGAGCCGTACCAGGGAACCAAACCAAAGAACCCAGACCACCTAAGTGGAGTGCACTGAACTTAACCACTATGCGACAGGGCTGGCCCCCCACTGTAATATTTCTTTAAAAGCCATATAGGAAAAGCAAAACTAGAAACACTTTTGCTGTAAATTTTTTAATCATTCTTTTTCATTGATTGCAAAGGTTAAATAAATAAATAGCCTGGATCTCTGCATAAAATAAAAAATTTGCAATGTCTAAGTTGAAACTTGCACAATTACTTTTTTCCCCCATTGGATGCAAGCATTTCTGGCTTTGTGCCAACAGAAGTGTAAGTTTTTATCAGTAATTTAAATAGATTTTTGTCTTAGACCTGAAAGTGTTGCCTTTTTAATTGAAAACTTATCAATTATTTAAATTGCTAGCAGCCTTAGGCTGTTAATTTTATGTGTGCCATAATAATGGCATACAGTGGTTTTTGATCCACGTGACACATGGAATATCACATTGTGGTAAGGATTTGTCGTGACAATAGGTTGTTGTGTGTTGTTAAATAATAACCAGCATATTAAACCAAAGTCTGTTGTCACACGTTAGTACCATTTTATGTAAGTTATTTAGAAGTTGTATTCTTTTCTTCATTAGATATATTTTTAAGAGATAATGAGAAGAAAACAAAGCTGTAATAAATTGTCTTTTAAGAAAATGTAAAGTAATTTGGTCTCCAAGGAGATATTTAATGTATGGAGAGAATTCAGCAGCCAAGTGTTATTACAGCAGCATTGTGATAGCTCTCTGCGTTTTGTTATGAGTTTGTGTTAATCAACAATCTGTTTTTATAGCGTAGTTTCTTGTAAGTTATGTTGTTAGAATATTCCACTTCTGGGATCATGGCTTTTCCTCTGACTCTATTGTTTCTTTTTAATTCCTCCATAAAGTATTTTTTTAATTAGAATTTGAAATGCTTTATTAGAGAAAAAAATCCACCCAACCTGCATATTCTGAAAACTAAATACCTGATCATTACTAATTGTTTAAAGGGCCCTGTTAAATATTCCCTAAATGTAGTTTAAATTTTTTTGTTGTTCTTGTTTTTCTCTCTCATTTTCTAGAAAGACTGAAGACAGTATGCTGCATTTCTCCTTCCATCTTTTTGTGTTTGTTGTCTGGTAGTCCTGGCTTCATTTCCTTACAGCGTCAACCAGCAATGCTGGGCCCTGTTTATTGATTCATCATAAGCTTTGTCTATCATTGAGACCCAGTTATAGGAGGGGGTTATTTTAATGTTAACCTCTGCCTTTGGGTGACCTTTCATTAAGAAACTCAGCAGTACATCTTGTTCTTGTAAATGGATTCATATTTGTTTCTGCTAAATCCCATGTCTAGTAAAGGATTTATTATATGTGATTCTCTTGATACTGAGAGACTTATATGAGTGGAGCACAGTATTAACACAAATAGTTTTCTTCATTTTGCCTGTTCTCTCTTTATACCATTTTTCCACATTGCCAGAAGAGTATGGAACAAGTTTAATTGTAATGCCTCCCATTATGGCAGAGACCTTGTGTTTCCGTGGAGTGTAAGTATTCCCCTTGGTGTACTTGACTATAGCGTACCTTGTTAGATATTGGGTACTATGAGGGAAAATACTTTCTGACCTCTGAAGCACCTTGTAAATTGAGATATGATTAGCTTTATCCTAGAATGCATAACTTGGAGATTGCCTCTAAAATTCTATGGT